AAAAATGTAGTATTATTTCAATGTGGTAAACAAATATTTCTTCTTAGGAATAAAATATCAACAGTGGCTATTGCTCAGTTTAAAGTATGGGAAAATTCATTTATGATTTTTAATATTCACCTAGTTTTCTGAGTGAACATGTACTATTTCTATCATCAGGGAAAAAATTTAAGTAACACCACAATATATACTTGGCACTCATTAATTACTGCTTCTGATTTGAAGTCTGGAGCTGGACAGAGAGGAAGCTTTTGCTAGAACATCCTATCACTTTTTTCTACCCAGCTGCCCTGATTTGGAAGAAGGGCTTCTCTGTAGAGAGCAAATATACTCTTTGACAACGACAAGAGTCTGACTACAGTCGTCATAGCCCTTATTCAGCTGCTAAATTCTATAATACAACAGTAATTTTTACCAAAGTAAAAAAGTCTATTTGTCCTACTGAAGAAATTTAGAAAAAAAAAAACTTGAAAAATATTTTTGAAATAATTATAGAGTTACAGGAAATGGCAAGGGTAATACCGAGTCTTTTACCCCAGTCACCCAATTTCCTCTTGAAGCAATTTAAAAACATGAATCACTTTATGGATTTTATTCTTTTTGTGGAGTCTGGTGGGGGGGGCAGGGCTAGGGAGCAAACTCAGACCCTTGAGCAGGCGAGGAAAATGCTCTGTCACTCGGGGCCAAATGTCCTCATTTTTACAGTATGAGCTTAGTGCCAAGAAGCAATGTCGGTTCTGAAAGCCAATCCCACAGTCCTTTCTGTTTCCCTAGCTTGAAAACACGGAAATAACTTTTTTCTAACTTCCTGTAGTTCATCCTGAGTCACAGATGTTTGAAAAGAAATCCTGGCCTGTGGGCCGTGTAAGTTCCACTGCCATCGGTCACCGTGTAGTTACAGCTTCAGTTCAAGAGTGCATTTGTGATACATTTCCCCCATGATGAGGAATTACCAGGCTTGTACTCTTTGAGTTTAATGATAGAAATAGAGGGGAGAAATAAAGTGGAAAAGACAGTCTTGATTGAAATAAACTGAGGCTTCTTTTTTGTCATCATTGGTACGTTGAGGTTTTATCAGTTTAAAAGATGGAGGTTTGAAACAATTATAGTCTATCAAATAACTGCTTGATGATGAGATTTTTTTTAAAACTCCTGATGTAAAGAGAAAAGAAAAAACTAGCTACTTCTCTTACCAAGCTGGGAAGGGTAAAAGCACCGCAGCATGGAGATAGTGGGATCCTGCGGTTATATGTTATACTCCGGACGCACAGAGTGCTCTGGTGTGGGATCACATTGCTTAAATGTAAAGCACAGCTCTGCCATTTAGGAGTTGCATAGTCCTGAGCACCTTCCCATTACTGAATTTCTCATATCTACTACAGATATCAGTTAATTCATAGTATCTGAGGTCCGCAACCATTTTACCTGTACTAGTCAAGAAATCTTTAAAGCAGGCATTACAAGAATGCCGATTTACAAGGCACCAAGGTACACCCTAAAACAATTAACTCTGTACCATCTTTTTAAATGTTTGGCATGCTCTTCTCCCAACTTGCATTTCCAGAATATTCACCAAATCTTGTCTGATCCTTAAATCTACTTTTCATTCAACTTGTGTTTGGCTCTGTAACCATTCAGACAACTTACCACTTTAGAAATTTAAAATTATCTGGGAGAAAAATCAGATGATATTGACCATAGGGCTTCACTTACCAGCAAAAGCCCAGAATAGGGATAATTTAGCTTTATTTATCTAATGCAAAGAGTGCCTTAGTTGGAGAAAAAAGAAAAGACAAGACACTGTCATTTTGCACAGATAATGGAAGAACATTTTTTCTTATTCCCATAAAGATATCAATAAGCCAACTGACTAGTTAACTAAAAAGTAGAAATATTTAAATGCAAAATGTATAAGGTATATACTAGAAAAAAATACTCAGTTTAAAATTCTTCTTAGACAGCAAATGTCAGGATTATTATAGTTTTCAAAGTTTGTTCATAAGTGCTCCAGCATCCCTTAGAAATACTGCATACTCTTAGGTCATGTAATTACTTAATTTTAAAAACAAAAGGAATCCTGAGGATAATGTAGAGTCTAACTCTTCACTTTATAAAGGAATGGTGTCATCAATAGAAGAGACAGCTTGCCTAAAGGTATCAGAGTCACCTGGTAGAGGAATCCAGATGTTTTGTCCCCTGTGTTAAAGGCAGTAAAAATCCACAGGTGCGTGGCTCGAAACACATTTTCATGGGCTGACTCTCTAACCCTTGCTTTGCTCACTTCTCTTCATCATAATCCAGCTTCCGTCCTTCTTAAGTTCCTGGCTTCCACTAACAAGGGCCTAGGAAATGATTTGTGTCCTGCCCAACTCCTGTGTCACGCACACCTGCTCCCACTACTGCATTGTGTTATCAACTATAGAGGGGTTTGGGTTACTAATCCAAGTCTGCATTGATATTCATATGGGAAGCAAAATTTATTGTTATATGAAAATATGCACCAATGAAATGAATGCTCAAATACCATATATTTAGCAAGTGCTTTTCCCTTGCCCATGGCTTCTATATCTCAATGCCTCTCCCGATTTTCAGATGGAGTAAACACCAGCTAAAATAATGGGGACAAAGCATAAACTGATTTCAAACTAAAGTTGAAAATCTTACTAAAGATGTTAAGAATTCCATGAGGCCCATGGAGGTAAAATTAGTCCTGAGCAAAAAAAGGATCTTACCTACCTCCTAATTCTTCAAAGATAGTCAAAATCACATATGAGGATCTGGCAATGTTAAATTTCTTAATTAAAGGAAAACAGATGACATTAACACAATAATAAATATATTTTGTTCATTCAAACTGTCCCCAAACAAAGCCAAGACATAACATAGTCTAACACTTAGTGCATAGTCTCAATTACAACCAAGATATTCAATATAAGGTCAAATAAACATTTTAATAAGTTATTTCATTTAAAATAAAGTTCAAATTGAATTTTTATTCATGTGGCACAAAATTATAGACTCCTACTTAGTTGGCTTTTTGTGATGCCATGTTAGTACAAGTTATCTCCTGAGTAGTGGTATGTTGAGTGATTATGATTTTCATCTGTGAACTTTTCTAAAATTTTCAAAATTTTCTAGAAATGAATGCATTATGCTTTTAAAAATTTAAATATTTACTCATTTCTGAGCATCTGTTAGTATTTAATGGATCTTTCCCCATGTGTCTTTAAGCCACCAGGACATAAACCCTGACACTTTCCGTCAGATCCTCAGCTCTTCTCGTGAAGAACCTGGCTTTGGGATGGCAGGGTGCTTTGGGAAGGTCCTTCCTCAGAACTTTGTAGGAGCTGGATTGCCTCATATCAGTGATGGGAGCTGCTGCAGTTTGCTCACTCCCTTCCCAAGGTCCAGAATTTATCACAATTGGCAGGTGGGCAGAAACTTTGGTTCCTCAAGAAGTGATGCCTCCTGCCATCTTCTCTGAAGCACCCTGGGGACGTCTGCAGAAGATGATATGGTGGTGACGCCTGTCACAGCATTCCCCAGGCCGCCCCCATGCTTCCCACACTTGCCAAGGCTCCAGGTGCAGAAGCATCTAAATCATAAAAAAAAAGAGCCAATGAAAAAGTTTAGACATGATTTCTAAAGTGCTAATGTTTAGAACATATGACATTGAGTTTTATTTTATTTTTTTATCTTATTGAGTTTATTGGTACGTTTTAGGTATACAGTACAGTTACATTCATCATTGGGATCTTGTACCTCTACATGACAGGTCTTGGTTCTCATTTTTCCCCCTTACCTCTGCCCTCCCTTCACCCCTTCCTCCCCTATTTACAAAGACTCTGTTTCCGTTTTTCCCTTCTCCTATTTTTTCTTGTCCCTTATTTCCTTTCCCCTACCCTGCCCTCTTCCCCTACACATTTAGCCCTTTTCTTCTAATTTCACGTTATCAGTTGACAATGAGTTTTATACGTTGGAAGGTAATGGATTTCTGAAGTAAAGAGGGGAAAATGCATTCCATTTAGCACCGGTCAAAATATTAGCAGACAGGTATATTGCGCTTTATGCTTCATAACTTAAGAAAAGGGCAAATAACTTTAGTGGGTCAAAATATTTTATAAAGCTAATTAAATATTGCCAGAAATATTACCTGCAACTTGGAAATATACAAGAGAAATGGGAAGGCGTTCTTGGAGTTAAGAGGTAGGTTTGAGTTTCTATTTACAGGGGTATATCATAATTCTGTAGAGGCAGAAATTATTTTTTTTTGTTGTTATTGATTGATTGATTGATTCAGGGTCTTGCTGTGTAGTCAGGCTGGGCTTAAAGTCACTGTATAGCCCACTCTGGTCTTGAACTTGGTGATCCTTCTGCCTCAGCCTGCTAATTTGCTGGGATAACAGGTGTGTGCCACCATGCCTGGCTTTGTGGACTTTTACATTTCTTTCTACTTTACCTATTTTTGGAAAAATATATGTGATTTATAGAGTTATGATGTCATATCTAATGTAAATGTAAGATGATGGTTTAAAGTATAGCAATCTCCTTAGCTTTATTTTTGAAAGATTAGAGATCCTTATTTGGGAATTATTGTTAAAGATAAAAAGCATTCAAATAATTAAAAATGCTTTTAACAGCATCAGGAGATGCTTTGTTAAGTTCCATCACTAGTTGTATGATCTTTGGGTAAATCAACTAAGCATTCTGTGCCTGTTTCTTTGTCTTTCATTTCTAAATTGAAGTGTTGTTTTTTCTTTTCTTTTTTTCTATCAGTTGTCACTAGACTGGGGGGCTGGCAAGGGAGGCAAATGGTCTCTGCCTCTTAATCTCTTGATTTATTTTTTTCTCCTGCTCCACACAAATTTTTATTAGTACGTATTTGCAGTATATAACGATTACATTATCATGGGAAGTTGGTACATGCACATAGCATATTTCAGTTTTTTGCTTTTTTGGGTGTTTTTTAGCTGTGGCAAAATTTCTCTGAAATAGTAAAAGTGGTGGCAGTTAAGCCAACTGGGTTCCTCTGCTGGTGGGGGCCCAGTGTAAGGGCTGTGGACAGCAATCTACTCGGTAGGGAATGAGGCCTGTTGCTTCAACTGGCTGCCCTAACAGACCTCAGAGACACTGCCTCCAGGCACATGTTTGTTATCTGACCTCCTGTGTCCCCAGTCCAGGCTCCAGACAGGCATGTGGGGTGCCTTCGGGAAGGCCCAGGGACCAGTGGCAAGGGTTCTCATTGGACAGGTCGTCATGTCCATCCGCACCAAGCTGCAGAACAAGGAACATGTGATCCAGAGCCTACGCAGGGTTCAAGTTCAACTTGAGCCACAACTCCACCAGAAGAACCACACTTCCAAGAAATGGGTCTTCACCAAGTTCAATGCAGACGAATTTGAAGACATAGTGGCCAAGAAGTGTCTCGTCCCTGATGGCTGCGGGGTGAAATACATCCCAAATGATGGGCCTTGCACTCCTGAGGGCTTCCATGGTGCTGCCCCTTCCTCCTAACAAGTTTACCAGTAACTCCTATCTCTGCCGCCCCTGAAAAAGAAAAAGTAAAAATGAAAAATGAAGAATATACTGCTCTATGGAGCGAGCTTGGGCCAAGTAAAAGAGAAAAAAGCAAGATAAAGTGCGTCCCACAGGAAGCAGGGCAGGGTATCAGGAGGAAGCCATGACAGCCAGCTCTTCTAGGCATCTGTATCTTTTTATACTTTTCAAATCTTGAGGAAATCCATGAGAACCTCTACATGTGGGTCCCGAGAGGAGTGCTGGGATCCCTAACTGGAGAACAGTCTCCGCATGTAAAGTACCATCCCATACCCATCTTTTGCCACCTCCCAGTTCATAGTGACACCAAACCATATTGCAACAGCAGATAAGCTGTTTCGGCTTCAGATTGTGATGATCAGACCTTTCCCACGCATCACGAATACAGCAAAGCGTGTGACAGACACATGGTGGGTCAGGTCCAAGAGGTTTCCTGTTGGCTTGGTTTGGGGCCTTGGTCTCCGGTAGCTGAGCTTCTCTCCTGGCTGGCTACGTCACAATGCTATCTGGCTCCTTCTAAAAGTGGCTTACCTAGTAAAGGTTACTGGGTTTTGGGTTGCTCGTCTCATCAAGAAAGAGAGATGAGAGAGAGAGAGAGAGAGAATTGAGCAAAAAGCAGTGGCAAACACCATTTGATAAAGTAAAAGTGAAGAGTGAGGAAGAAACTGGCTCTGCAGAGCAAGCGTCTTGGACTGGATAAAAGAGGGAAAAGCAAGACAAAAGTGTATTCTGGGGGAGCAGGGTGGCTATCATGAAGAAAGCCATGATAGCCTCAATTCTTTTTAAAAACCCCTTTCCCCTTCCTGACCTTTCTTCCTTCTCCCTTCAAAATCGAAGTTGATAGCCGCCTGTCTTGCTTACCTCCCTTACTGTTTTAGGAATCAAGTACAAATGAATAAGGAAAACTAGGTCTAATGTAATCTAATCCCAGGGATCGAGACGTGCTGGTTAAGGCTGGGGATTTAGCTCAGTGGTTCTGCCGCCTGCCTCATAAGCACAAGGACCGGTGTTCAATCCTTGGTACAAAAAACAAAAACAAAAACAAAAAAGCGCTGGTTACACTGAAAGTTGAAGAAAATACAGGAAAACAGAAGGAATGGCTCATGAGAAGATTCGTCTTGAAGACAGTCTGTGCTACTTAGAAAATTGCAAATCCAGTGTGAATGGAAGAGGGCTAAAACAGAGTATAGTGATCATAAGCTGGGATGTATGTTCTACTAACTGCTTTTTCTTCACTAATTATAAATATTTTTCAAGTTAATATGATTATTTACTTAAATCCTCTCTTATGTGGACATTTAACTGCTTACTTTACTCTCCATCTCCTATGTGACATTATTTTGAGGAATTCTTAACCTAGCTTTTCTTAGTATTGTCATCAACCTTTGACTAACATTGAAGATTCTCTCTCTCTCTCTCTCTCTGTATATTCTCCCTTCACCCATGCTGTGTCCTCCTGCTCTGTTAGTCATGAGGCCACATGCTTCAATAGCCTCTCGCCTCATGACACTCGGGCTGGTACCACAAGCCCAGGTGCCAGGCACAGGTCCAGTGCTAGTTAGGCTCCCAGTTACTGGAGTTTTTAACCCTTCTTGATATATATTTAAGCTTAACAGTAGTAAAGAAATATGAAAAGAAAAACTGCCCCCTGCCATAAGCCAGTTAGCCACCAGAATATTCCAGTGGTATTTCAAGAGGACAAGTTTGACCCTATTCCATGTGGATGGACAACGTGAAGTGACTGAAGCCTGAGAGAGAAGCTCTGAGCAGGGTGATGTCGGCAAACCCATGTGAAATCATCAAATTGTGCCTCAACTTCTATAAGCTTAGTTCCTGAGCAAACTGCTGCACTGCCACAAACCGAATTACAGAACATGTAAGGCTTCAAAAACAGTTCTCAGTCAATAATCAGGAAGCTGTCTTTCCTTGCCTTGTGAAAGGTGAACTTGTGCCTGCAGAAAGAAAAAGGAAAAAAAATAACTGTTTACACATTTGGCCCCACAAAATAATTACAAAACTTCTAAAAAAAGCATATTGGCACAAATTAAGCTGGAGCAATTAGACTTGTAGTTAGAAAACACTTCTGTTTAAAACTGGCCCTAAGTAAAATTTGAAAGACAGAGCAAGCTTTCATCCAAAACATGAGACACCATATTATTTTAAAATCTAACCAAAACCATTTTAAATAAGAGTCATTTAATGCAATATGTGCTTACTATGAATGGCTGTAGACTTGGAAAGCAAAATATAGAATATTTAATAAGCCAGTTTCTACACTGTTTAACAAAAAGGAAGCATACTGTTAACTGTGATGAATATGCTAATAACACTTGAAGGAAAAAGGATCATACAACCATAGTTATCTTATTTTTGTCATAAGCAACTAATACTAACTGTTTTTTAATGGGTCATATATATGAACAATGCCAGATTTTAAGACCTAAAATGCTAGCTTCAACTGTAAAATATGAATTTGTTATGTGACTATTCTATGATGAAGTGTTCATGATTCTGAAGTACCTATGTCCATCTTAATTTGAAGTTTTGTTTTTATGAAGAAATAACTACAAATTTTAATTAAGGAGCATAAAACATTTAGCAATATCATGTGATTAAAAGGCACAGCATACACCAGTTTTTAATGATTATCATCTATTTATGACCAGTTTATGTATTTTTACCGTGAAAGTCATGTTACACAATTTGACTACTGAAATAAAAACTGGAAATAACATGTTATGAAAAATAGAGCAAATATATAAATTCCATAGATAAACATACTGATTCTTTATTGTACCTAGTTTTGGGCCTCCTGTCAGCCAAAGAACAAAGAGAAAAACAAATTAAATAATTTTTACAAATAGACCAATGAAAGCATGATATTTCTACAGATCTTTTCCTGATAATAAATCCTTAAAGTATGTAAAATTAATACTTTTTTCTACTTTATGCATGCTGAAGAATTTGCACTCTGATATGATTTTACCCTCTCAGGGAGCGTTATGTTAGCCTAATTTTCACTCAATGAAATGTGTGTTCAAATCTAGTCCTGCCAAGTTCCAAGCTTTGTGCTCTTTGCACATATCCTGACTGCTTTGCCAGTGCACTTTAAACTCTATAGTGGGTCAGAATACATTTTAATGACCCTACTAGAAACAGAACTAGCTTTGTGTGGTCATTTCTTTTATTTAACCTTTGCAGAAATCAAGGCTATACAGTTAAAAATGATTTAATAAGGTTCCATTGTGGGTAAAATGAAATAAGCACAATTTATTCTGTTCACACACTGAATGCAACTCTAAAACCTAGAAAGAATGCATGACACAGTTATTTTAGGACTCTGAACAATAAATATAGCAGATGGTTTGGAGAAGAAAGTCAAAATTTGAATTATTGTTGAATTTGCCGTGACTTTTTAATTTTTTTCTTCCAATATTCCCTAAACTTAACTCAGGCAGCCCTATACATAGAAATATGGTAAAAATTAAACCCATCCAGGTTAGTTGTCTGCTCAAACAAAAATATCAACACTGCAGAATTTAAAAAAGGCCCAGATCCTTATAACCTCAAAAAAGGGTCAAAGCACAATCCAAAATAACTCAGCATTGGAAGAACAAGTTAAATCGCAACTTTTTATAATGGCCAAACAACTGTCATAAAAATGTTCTAAGAAGTAAGGATGAACACTCTTGAAGTAAATAAAAAACACGAGACATTCTCAGCAAAGGAATGAGGGATATAAATGTGATAGTTAACTGATTGTGTCAACTTGAGTAAGAAATGACCAACTAGATTGACTCAGCATAGTTCCGGGTGTGGAAGAACCACCCTAAAGAGGATTATTGCTAGAATGATATAAGAAAGAAACAAAGAAGGAAGGCTGGTGCTTCTGTTTCTTCAGAGGAGCTCCAGTCTTCACCATCACTTTTGACATTGTCTTCAGCCTTGCATTGCAGACCCTTTGGCCTCCTAACACAGACTCACATGGTACAGTACAGTGAGCTGCAGGCCTTGACTGGACCCTTTAAATCTCCAGTGCACAGACAGAGCTTTTGCACACTTCTACACCTGGTTTCTTGGGTGACCACTATACGTCAATTTGTAAATTCTTGTTTATTTGTATATCTTGTATTAAATCTATTTCACTAGTAGGCAGAGACTGATACAGTAAAGAAAACTAAACCAAAATTTTACAAAAATTAACTTAAAAGGTACTTCTGCTCAGAGAGTGTGTATTCTGTTTTTTTTTTTTTTTTGGTACCAGGATCGAACTCGGGTCCTTGTGCTTACAAGGCAGGCGGTGGAATCATTGAGCCAAATCCCCAGTACATGTGTGTATTCTAATTGGGAAGATACAAAATTTAAAAATGTTTATATTACCAGCAAACCATAATAGCTAAATCTCTCTCTCTCTCTCTCTCTCTCTCTCTCTTGGTACAAGGCATCAAACTTGGGACCTTGCTTTTTAAGGCAGCAGAACCACTGAGCCAAATCCCTGGCCCCAATAATAGATAAATCTTGAAAACAACCTATATAAATGAAAGAAGAAAATGAGGTGTTTATACATAATGGAGTAC